CCTTGTATTGATTGGTCGCCTCACACGTCTCATTCCATCAGAATTGAATATTTTCTAGCGCGTTTCATCACTGAACAAAACTTTTTTCCAGTCATTGACGGTTCAGTACGTGCAAATGCCAACCTTGCTGCTCTATTTCTTTCCGAAACTAACGGCTTTTTAGCTGGAGGTCTACTAAATAAATTTGCATCTACTAATCTTCTTTGTACTGTTCGTATACCAACCGTAATTTCTGGAATTTCGGCAATAATTCTAGGTGCGGACTTCCAAAGATCATTTTGAGCAATTTTTTTGATGCGTCTGTCGGTCACTACTGTTGTTTTCTTTCTCTGCTTTGGCCTTCCCGATTTTGGCAACTTTTCTAAGTGTCCGCTGTCATTATACGATGAAATTATTTTAGATACAATGTACCGAGGTAACACAAACTGTCTTGAAATATCGGCTTGTTTGTTACCTTCCATGAATGCATTCACAACTCTTTGCTTCAAGTCTTTTAAAATGGGAATCCCTCTTGGCATGACTAATCCAGCATAGAAATATTTAAAAAACATAAAATAAACCTCGCAACTATCGCACCTGATCGTTCAACCTTGTGGCAAGTGAAAAATGCGTAAACATCTAGAAATAATAAGAAAAAACCTCAAATTGGTCGAAAGAATTTATACTCATCCTTTACTCTGATAAATGTTTCAATAAACTTTTCAAATTTCAATCCTTCATATTTTCTCAATGACTCGAGGGATTTTCGAAAACAATTTTGGGGCAAAAGTTGTCCCCGTCACAAACAAAATTGACGTGTTTTTGGATTTTTTGAAAAAAAAGAATACCCTGGCCGTTATGCCTTGCGGAACGTTTTCGATTGGCCACCATGTATTTGATATCAATTAAACTTTTAGTTACGTAATCGAGGGCGCGATTTTTAAATTCATGGTTGGCAACCATGGACATTTTCGGCACCGCTCTGAATAACTGGAATTTAAATTTTGCGCTGGGGATTTAGGTGGCAGCTCTGCTGTAAAAAATGTCAAGTTGCCAGATTTATTACTTAACACTTCATTTTGACACTTTCGTTCTGTATTACGAGTATTTGGTTTAAATAAATCATGTTGTGATACTTTAAGCTTAAAAATGAGTTGTGCTTTTCAAACTTCAAAAGAAAGCAGTTCGATATTTATTGGGACTGAATAATAGAACTCACTGCCAGAATTTCTTTAACAATTTCAAAATACTGACTCTTCCTTCTTTATTCATTTTTGAATTCGTTTGCTTAGTCCGCAAGCACATATCTGCTATTCCCGAAAGGCCATCTCACAACTATCCACTTAGCAATGCGGAGCATGATCTTTATCTGTCAACCCCGAGCTCAGAACTAGTTAAATGCTCAATACTGTATAATGCCAAAAAAATGTACAATCATCTGCCTATGAATATCAAGTCGCTTTCATTCTTTCCTGCATTTCGCAAACCTCTGAAATCATACTTACTAGAGAGAGCCCTATATGCGGTAAACGACTTTTTTGTTGATGTTTAATCATGAACAAATTTTGAATTTTAAAATGTTGAACATCTCACACACTGGTTAAAAGTCTGGAATTTAATATTTTATGACTCTTAAATGATTATTTTTAGCAAGATCATTTTTTACAATTAAACGTTCGACGCCGACCGACTTTTACAGCACCAGAGCTTAGTTTAATTCTCCAGGA